TTTTTTCATATTAATCAATGGCGGCTAGTGCCCCAACAGACTGAACGCCCATCGTCCATCTAACGACGGACATGTGATTTCAAAAATTCAAAATTCGAAAATATAATATAAATGTAAGCAATTCAAATTAATTAAAACTAAGTTAAATAAAAGTCTATATTGAATCATTGCTTACACAATTTATGCCTCGTGACCGAGTCAGGTATATTACACACCTCCCGCGCACGTGGTTCTGGCTTTGATTCCCACTGGACACTTATGTCCGACTCCAGCACATCGTCACAAGCACTATTGCCTCGACACATTTCACACAAATAAAGTTATATTATTTCGAAAATATCACCACCCTGTTAAATTTTGCAAAAAATATCCTTCCACATACACGCCCATATTCCACCAGCACTCTCTGTTTTGTAACTGCAGCCTGCTGCATCTACCGAGAAAGGGACTTCCTTCCAGAGCCGCCACTGTTATTAATGTTTATATAACATACACAAAAATGTAAACTACACGTGCAGACAACGGGAACTTCCGTCTTTCAAACGACATCTTATTCGCTTCGATTGACTTAGTTCGTCCGGAAAAAATATGTTTACATAACACGTTTTAGAAATAGTATCAATGGGGCATTGTTCCGTGTTCTCTGTGTGTACAATAATTATTTTATCTGTTCTGTATGTATGTGTAGACCGTGTATTATGTTTTTCCTCTGTTATATGTCTGTTGCACTATATATTGTGGCGTCATATCAGTCGCCTTGTACAAACGTGACAAAATATTAGCCACGTGCATTTCATGCTCATGGACAGCGCTGGCGGGAAGAGACGCCGGGCTGAACATAGGCAAACCTAGGGAGCGGAAGGGAATGGCCGTGTCTTGGGTGGCCACTTGTGAACCCCGTAGACCACTTGGGGCAAACTTGTGAACCCCATAGACATTCTGGCTGTGGAAACGCGTCGGCGGAAACAGCGAGATGACGCAGTTCCGACAGCCGGCCCAAAAGGTTCCCGGATCTAAACTCCTTCTGATTCTTGGGCGCGTCGGTAGAAAGTCGTGTGGGTTGTGCGCGGCGCTGCATTTCAATGCATAGGCTACTGAGGCAGGGAACTGAAGCCGGCGGGCTACGTCGAGACTGGAGGTGCGGCTTACTCGTTTGTATGCTCACGTAGGCTACTGGTGTACTGCTACTCACACCGAATAAGATGTCTAATTATCAGGCCAGCGGTGGTGGTGACCAGGAACATTCCTTCTAGTAACGGGTCAATATTGTTTTTTGTAATTATTGTTCATAGTATTCAGGTGTTGGAGCATATTTCAAATAAATACTCAATAAATTACAAACCGTTCACGTCTGTGATTTATTGCCCCGGCAAAGACGCCACAATATGTTGTAAGTGAATCTACCTGTTGGTCACCCACCTCGATGACGGCAGTAGGGATCGTCATAAGGACCCTTTAGCTTACGTCATTGAAAACAGGCTAACGTCCATCGCCAGTGGTTCGTCTCGTGTCCTCTTGCTCTTATTGACGCATTTCTCCTTGGTTCTGATGTCATCAGCCGCACTTCGTAGCTTTGAAGTTTTGTATATATGAATATTGATATATTCACATAAAGACATGTTAGTCATTGGTTAATCAAGTAATGTTATAATTGAGTACTTTCGAGGCTTTAATGGAGGTCGTATTGTATATCTCGAGTGTCTAAAATATTTTCTCGATTTTTACAAATTTTCAAACATTGTGTTTCAAAATATCTAAAAATCTTCAATATCTCTTTAATTAGTTGGTGATAGTTAGCTATATAAGGTAGAATTCCTGAACTACACCAAAACGTCAGGCGATGCTCGGCATATAGCTCACATTCAGTTAAGACATGTGGAACAGTTTTGTCTGACATTCCACATGGGCACGTGGGGATGTCTGTTAGGCATCTTCTGCACAGATACTCAGAAAACAATCCTTGGCCAGTTAGGAATGGTATTGTTTATTTTGTATAGTTTGAACCATTTAGCCTGTACAGAAAATGAAACATTTGACACAATTTTTTGACGCCTTCCTGTGTCTTGCGTGTCCCACCGCCACTGCCACTCCTTCTTCAGCTAACGCATCAGCTTCTTTTCTTTCATGATTTTAGCTGCGACTAAAGTTGTTCCGAAAATTTCCACAGTTTCCTGGTTTCTTAGAGCGTGTCTTGCTGCGAGTTTTCTTACTTCCAGTACTAATGGAAACAAACCTTCTAGGATTTGAAGGGTCATGGTTGAGCTTATCCTGTATATGCCAGGAGTAACGTAGTACACGTTACGAATAGTAACTGTGCGATTTTTCCAACTTTGCCCCTAGCAGGCCTCAGCTGACAGTTTCATCCAATCGGGAGTTTGAAAATCACCGTAGTGACGACAACTGTCTTAAATTTGAAAAGGATATTTCGTTTTTTGGAGGTACTTTACATTAAGTCCCAACATTTTCAAAATTTTCTCAAAAACATGTTCCAAATTTTTTGTTTCTGTTTTTTTTAATAAATATTTTTATAAATGGTGCATCTCTTAGTTTCGTTAAATTGTCTGAATTATCAAAAATTGCAAAAGTTCAATTGTTTGTTTTCTACCGTACAACTACAATATTAAACAACTATAAATTTGTTTGTAATAAAATATATTCTTTCAAGTTTTATATTTAAATAAAATAACGTTCAATTTTTTAAAAAAATCTTGTAGCTTACACTGTAGCTTTAAGCCTGAAATATAGGCAATATTAAAAACAAGATTTTCTCAAAAAACGGCTCCAATTTATATCCGTAAACATTTTGTACGAATAGTACGCCAAATTGACTGAATACCTGATAATAAAAACCATCTAGAAGAATACTTTTAATTTTTCGAAAATAGTTACACAAATATATTTTTTAACATATTTATCATTCCTTAATATTTACATTTCTGCCGTTTGTACACATTATTGCATTTGTGACTACATGTGCTTCAAACGATTTCGTATGACGTTTCACGAAAACCCAAAGGTTTCCTATAAAAATGTGTTCAAAATATGGAATTTTCAGAAAGGCTCGAATTACATTTTTTCCTAAACACCTCGAACTTTTTCAATCAAAAAGAGCCTAGATCCAGGTTTTACTCTCCTTAGTCCACATTATATTAGATTATGTGTTATGCTTCTATTCTGCTATTAGGAGAGAAAATATTTTAGGTGCAAATAGATAGCAGCTGAAATGAGGCTGGGGCAGTACCGAAAAAGTAGCCCAGACAAAGATTAGGAATCAACTTAGTACGAGGAAATTCATGTCATTTCGTAACGTTCTCGCGGAAGAGAATCAATTCCTTCCCGTGGTGCACGATAAGGGATATTAAACTTTATATTGATTCAAAAAATATAAGTAAAGATTTGACTTCAACTCATACGTATTATTACAATGTTTCAGAAGATAATTCATAAATCTATTTTTAACTTTTATTGGGGTCAAATAATTAATATTTCTGATTTGAATGTTTAATTCCTTTGTTGCCTTCATTGCCATTTGGACTTTTCTTTTGAAGAATCGGTTCCGAGATTCATCAACCGTGTCTTATCGTTCATTGATTGTTCACCGCACACGTTTACGCAATCTTTGGTTTGTTATATTCTTTGGCGATAGGAACGCCCCAAGCGGTACCTCCTGAATAGCACAAGTGCTTCCCGAGAGGATATAATGAGAGATATAAATGGTCCATGCCCCTTACAAATGCACGAGAACGAGGGCTTAAAAATTCTTCGTTTATTGATATTCTTTCTGACAAGATGTTCTCACGGCAGTGAAGGTCATCAGTAATCCAATTTAGAAACATCATACCTCTTCTGTACTAGCGGGTCATAAAGTATTCTTACTTTTGTTTGCTCTGTTCGTTTTCTGCACGATTAGTCTGCCATCTTTGGATTCATGCAGTCGGTGTCAAAATAATTGCCCTTTATTGCCTTGCTGAGCTGCTGTAGTGCATTTCCTGCTAGAAAATCTCTCTGTATTTGGTAAGTGGAAATAACAGTATTTAAGAATAAACGTGGTGTTGCAAATTACTGTTACGTTCAATAACAATTAGAAGTAGTCCCATTCATGTAATAGATTGTGTTTTCGTTTTGTGGTAACGTGGATCCACACAAGTTTTTAACACCAAAAAATCTATAGCATTTTAATTTAAGGTCTGGAGAATAAGCCGGAGAGCGGGCAGTGTTTTCAAGCAGTAATGAAAGAAGATATATCAGTGAAAGCGTCTTCCAGTTTTGCTGTTAACATGCATTTGCCAGTTTTGTAGAACGTGGTTAGAACTTTGATATTTGTATTTTTCTATTTTGATAATTTAAAAGCTTTAATGGGTTGATGAATGAAGTGGTCACGTATGCATTTTTTACATTTAACTGCTAGGTTAATGTTCTAAGAGCAGATTCAATTTAGTGATGTTTACGTTTTCCGCTCCTCTCAGAATTTTCGTGACATCAAGTCTCTCTTATCCAGTACTTCATCACGTTATTTTATAATTATTATTCTAACGAAGTCGCTTTTAAATAATTCCCGTTTGAATCAGGGTTCACTTCTTTGCATCTTAATACAAAGGAAAAATAAAGGGTATGTCTTGATATAATTCAGTTTTCTTAAGTAATCTATCTATAAATAAAATCGGTTGCTGAAATTGTATTGGAGCTACTTTATCATAGCTGTGTGATATGAGTCCTTGACATCTCATTTCGCAAGAACTTATGACTTTGAGTAAGGTTATTTGGAGGCTTCAGTTTAGTGGATAGCTTTTTGGCATGTAAGTAATGTATAATAATATAATGCTTATTTTTAATTAATCTTGTTGCTTATTAGTTTCATGTAATTGATTGCATAAAAAAATTAATTCCACAATTCTCAATAATTCATTGATGAAAGCCAATCTTGTTTGAAATAAGTAATATCCATTTTTCTCGTGTGTTAATTTATAATAATGTAAATAAATTTAGTAGTAAATCTCATATTGTCCTGTAACAGCTGATTTTGGCATGTGTAACATTAGTGCTAAAAATAGCCTCATTTGGCTGTGAACACCAGTGTTGTGTCAGCTGCCATGTAGCTAATTTTAGTTCCCTTCAGTGCATCTTGTAGCAAGCTTTGCAATGAGCATAGCAACCAGATCAGTGGAGACTAGAAGTAATTGGATGGTTAATGAAACGTATAATTTGGGGTCTTATGTTGGTCTGTGTTCAGATGTGTGGACAGATCATGAGTGAGGTAGAAAACTTTGTATGCTGTATTAAGTATATTGTAATATTTCACAAAATTTTATCTAAAAAATAATCCTATGTTATTTTGTCAATAATCGGAAATTGAATGGAAATGTTAAACACTGAATTGGTAATTGGTCATGTTCAAAGAATTTCCATGACTATATTTAAAGTTCCAATGTTCTTAAAGGTTAATGAGAACTCTAATGATGACAGTTGGAACTTGCAAGGGGTGAATGGGATGAATTTCACAGTTGAGTGGGGTATTTCTTCGGAGTGTGATGAAGTATATTACCTTTTCCCTTCCTTTCCTGCAATTTCTTTAATGAGTAGAACTGCAATTAAATAATATATGCAACTCTTGTTTATTTTAACATTGTAAATATTTTTAAACCTAGAGAGTATTTTATTTGTGGTAGGTTAATATATTTGTTAGGTTTTTTCTTCCCAGAGTTAAACTATTGTATTTTGTAGTTATTGGATTGCAACCGTTTTTTACATTTAATTTTTTATGTGGGACATTGAACACCTTTTAAGTTTGTTGATTGAAAATTTGAAGTAAGTATTTTTATTGTTAACCTTAAATCAGGTTAAAGAAATACCTCAAGGTTTTTAGTGTGTTTTAGGGTTGATGACTTGGGGGATGTCCTCAGTAGTATTTTGCCTCAAACTGCTTTTCTAAAGAAATAATATTATAGTTATTTAATCCTTTCCTGTGGAAAGGTTAAATTTTCATATGTATTAATTGCTTAAGTTGAAATGGCATACCTCTTTGCACTGTTGTTGTTTAAGAAGGCGTAACAAATTTTTGTTGAGTTAATGCTGTCATTAAATAATGACCTGTTTCAATAACAGTGTTGCTGGGGCTCTGCTGATATGCATAACACCAGTCCTGAAGGGCAGTACCGTGCCAACGGTGCCCACAACCCAGAATGTGTGGCCATCTTGGATGCAGGGGCCCAGTATGGCAAAGTGATAGATCGCAAAGTACGGGAGTTATGTGTGGAAAGTGAAATCCTGCCTCTTGATACACCTGCTTTCACTTTGAAAGAAAAGGGTTACAAGTAAGTATTTAAACTAAAGTAAACTCTGAAGGGAGAAAATGTTTCCAATTATAGAGGAAGGCAACAAGTGTCATTACTATATTTACCATCTATGACTTTCAAGGCCAGAAAGTAATGCATTACATAACTTGAAAAATCACAAATATTACTGAAATTTCAGAGTAAAATGTATTAAAATTTTTTCTCCACCATTGAGTATTACTTTCTGTGTTTAATTTCCTTCCTCTATTTCATAATGAAACATTTTATTTAGGATGAAAATATTACCACAATTTTATTGCATGTTCAATTGGGGCATTAATATTGGTGTAGGCTTAGTTAATTTACATTTTAAGGTAAAATGTTCACGAGTCACTGGTCAAATACTCTATTTGTTACATCTGCAGATTTACAATAGCTGCTTGTAAACATTAATAAAGCATTTAAATGTTTATAGGTAAATAGTTAACAGTATTGAAATTCCTGACAACAATGTTTTACTCCTAAATTTAGTCTCCCGCATGATTTTTCGTTTTCATATGTTGGCTATACCTAAGATAGGTTTAGGTGGACTTCAGCTCCCAAACTTTTCTTTCTTTCTGTATTGAATATTTGACTGCATTGTTTCAATCAAAAGTGACTTATCCTCAAATAATTTAAGGTTGTATGTGGTACTAAATGTTAGTTGGGGAGGTTTTCACTCATATCCCAAGAGAAGCAATCCTGATCATAGCATTTATGTACACCATAACTCCTAAACTGAGAGCCAGTACTTCAGGTTATGATTAATTTCACAGCAGATTTTTATCAGTTAAACCTCAAAATGCTCTGCGAGGTATGACACATTTAAGATATTAAGATTACCCCAAAAATTTAATATGAATTGAATTAAAGAAAAAGGAACTTTGACCTTATAACTTCTTCAACAACTTTTTCCATTAGGGCCTACTCTAATTTGAACTTCTTTAATCATAAAATGAAGGCTAGTAAGGACCAAATTTTCCTTACCATCTTAAAGAGTAGATATTTTATTTTCACTGACAGAACTTTCTGGGGATAGTTGACTATAAACGTTCATACAAACTATCCTCAATAGGCTTTGTAATTATAAAAAAACCTTTTTTAAAAAAGAAAAAAAGTCTAAATTATTTCCTGTGAGCTGGGCTCAAATGCCACATTTAATCTTTTTACACCGTGTATACTATATACTTTTTTAATAAAGAGAAAGGATTCTAACTCTGCAATGAAAAGTGGATAATTAGTACCAAAAAAATGGATAATTCTTACTATCCTAGGAAGTAAATTACTTCCTTGAGTATTTTGTTTGTAGAAAGTGTGACAAGGGACGAAATTAGAGAGGGAACTCTCAGCAACTCCTTGTTGATCATATGTTCATTTAATCGAAAAAGCAAGAGGTAATTCTGCAGATGTAGAACTTGAAATCTCTGACCACTATCCAACTGTCTCTTATTAAACCTGGAATGATAACATAACTTCTAATAACCCTTGTGTAAATACCAATTTTAGATTAAAATATAAGAATATAGACAGGATGATAACTGATTGGACTGTATACTCCAATCAAAATGTTAATTTCTTCTACAATGAGCTGGTAAATAAGTATAATAATATGTATATAATGGTAATAGGAAAAATTATAAAGTATACTGTTGATGAAAAGGCCCAACTAAATAAAAGAGACAAAGACTGGATTACTGACCATCTGCACAGTAAAATAAAAGCTAAAGATAGTCTTTTGAAAAGATAGAAATCAAATCCAAAAAGTAATTCTTACAAGCTGGCTTACACAAAGTATAGAAATAGATTAAATAATGACATGTACAGCAAAAAAATGATCACTTCAAGTCTCGATTTGAAAATAAAGTATCTAATAGCAAACAATTATGGTTTGAATTAAATCAAGCCTTAAATAGGAAACAAAACAAAAGATGTAGATGACAAAATTATATACTTACTTGGCAAAAATAAGAGTATACAAATTATTGCTGATTTTGCTTAACAATTTTGTAAAGCAAGTTGATATTATGGAAGGGAATAGAATTTATGGTTGTGAAAAGGATAACATGGACGAGAAACCACTAGAAGTAAGCTGTTACATCCCATTTACCAATCCAATGGTAATTAAGAAAATCATAAAAGAAATTAATGTTAATAAAAGTGCAGGTTACGATAAGATAAGGGCTCGAGATATATGTAACATTGAAATATTTTGTGAGACGCTATCCATTCTTATCATCATCATCATCATCATGAGGTTATGTGTCTTTCCGGACCACATGAAGGTAACCGTTATTAGACCTATTTATAAAAATAGTGATGCTATTGAGCTAACAAATTATCGACCAATCTCAATAATGTCGGTTATTGAATAAATCGTGGAAAAATACATTGTAAGTAGATTAAATAAGTATCTCAAAGAAAATAATATTATTGATGAGGACCAGTACAGCTTTCAGAAAGGGAAAGGGTCTGAACAGCTACTTAACAAAGTAGGTACCTATATTGCAGAGCAGTTAAATAAGGGACAAAGAACTCTTGCATTATATATAGATTATAGTAAAGCATTTGATACGGTTGACCACAAAATATTAATAAAAAGACTGAAAGAAATAGGACTCCAAAATCGTTTTCTAAAGCTTTTTGGAAGTTGCTTATCAAATAGAAAATTCATTGCTAAACTTACAAAAAAAAGTTCCTTAAAAGATGTTAAATATGGTGTACCACAGGGAAGTCAATTGATACCAGTTTTATTTAAGTGAATAGCCTGTTCACAAGAAGTAAGAGATGCAAATTATATATGTATGCCGATGATGCAATACTCTTATATTCTCACAGACACATAAAGTTGTGCCAAGAAATCATAGAAAATGATTTCAACTCCCTGCTAAAATGGTCATACAATAATAACCTTTTTGTTGAACCAAGTAAAACTAAATTATTGTAGTTCAAAACACCACATATGCAAAATCTAAAAATTGACAGGACTAGATTTTATGTATAAAAATGCCTTGTTAGTGACCAAACATTACTCTGTAATTGTGTGAGACTAAACTTTACCACAGAATATAATTATCTAGGTGTAATTTTCGACCCACATCTGAAATTTGAAAAGCATACCAATATATTATTTGACAAAATTAAAAGAATATCTGGCTGTCTCTATGCTGCAAAAGATTATTTAAACAAAAAAATTATGCTTCTCCTGTACAAAACATTAGTAGAGTCAATACAAAGATATGGTGTTAATATATGGGGGGAGGGGGGGGGGCTAGCTATAATCTGTCCAGCATAACTCTTGCCCCCTCACTAGTTGCCTTAAAACCAAAAGATTTTTTTCCAGAATATCTGATTAAAGCCAATTAAAAATAGTACCATTTGATTTTTGTCTCATTGAGAGGCATCAAATGAGCTATTGATCACTAAACATACCTTAGTGCCCCTCACAACAACTCAACGCTTTTGGGGGGGGGGTGTCTTCAAATATTCTTGATTTAGGGGGTGGTGGGAGGTCAGTTCCCTTACCGATCAATGTGTTGAATGCCACTTCAATAGCATAGAACTGTAAGTAAAACATGCAGGTGGGAACTGAGGCTGGGTATCTAATTATTATAGGATGGATGTTTCCTTGTACTTTAAAAGTGATCTAAGTTCATTGGTTCATATAATTATTTGTATAACATTTGGAATATTTATTGTTTATAAAAAATATGCTATTTATGTGGGCCAGCAAAGTGATTTGACTCTGTATAATTTTTGTGTCTTCTTTCTCAGAGGAGTTATAATCTCCGGAGGACCTAACTCTGTTTATGCTGAAGATGCTCCTAGATATGATGCAGATATATTCCGGATAGGTATTCCTGTATTAGGTAAGAGATTTGTAATTCACAAGACAGAAGTTTGTTCTAAAACAAAGTTAAACTTTAATCTTTTTTTAAAGGTATTTGCTATGGCATGCAGATGATGAATAAAGAATTTGGTGGGCAAGTTATAAGGAAAGATGGACGTGAAGATGGTCAGTTCAACATTGAAGTTGATAGCAGATGTCTCTTGTTCAAGTAAGACAGATTTTAAATTAAGTTTTTATTGTTCGTTACTTTTTATTTCTCTTCAAATTTGTTCAAACTTATTTTTAGAAGGGACCATATGGTAGCAAGAAACTATATGCTCACTGGAAAAATAGACAATTGTTTCCATGAAATGTATTAGAAATTGTGATCATTTCGTAGGATCTGAGAAAATGTAATTTTTGTTTCTTAGAATTGTTCTCCAACACATAAAATTGGGGAATTAGAAAGATAAGTGGAATTAGGTTTTAATGTTTTTGTTGATCTTTAAGTATAATAGTGAAATATAGATTTTGGAAAACCTTAGTTTTCTCTATATAATTGTTGAGAATTGGTTGTCTCTGAAAATTGATCCTTGACATTTACTGTGGTGGTATTCTTTCTTTTTGTTGTCAAAATTTAATGAAACAGTTTATTTTTTATTTTTTGAATAACTTTTCTGAAGAGAAGTTTGAAGTTGATTAAGATGAGATATTTGTCGATATGGATCGCTATGGCAGTAGTGGTTTGGTGATCGAAGGGACGCAGTTTCAAATCCCACCTCAGGTATAGATGTATTTGTGATCTTCCCTTCACCCTTAATCATCATCCTATTGTGTCATTAAAGGAGAATTAATAATTCCCTTCATAAGCAAGAGGCCCTTGCCCTTAATGGAAAATGGCTAATTAAAAAAAAAAGATATATATGCTAATAAAGAACAAATTAAGAAAGAGTACTACTAGATGCAGTGATTTTTACCATAAGAATATAATACATTTTAAATTACTTAAAAAATGATTTCATTGTAAAAGCAGTTACATTTCTTTTTAGATTTACCGCATATGAAAGATCCTTAAACCTGAACCTCAGAGGTCATTTGTTCTCAAAAAAAAATTTTAATAGGATTTTCCTGCTCCAAGTAATATCTTACTTTGTGTCCATTTGACATTATGGTACCTGGTCTTGCATTATTTGCTGCAATAAAATAAGCAGCATAAAATGAATTAATACCTCAAATGGAGGAGGGGGTATTCAGATATTTGTATAAGCTTGCAACCTTACTCTGTGAAGGATGATATTTTCTTTTTGTGGTTAATTACTCTACATTCAAAGATTTTATTTTGCAGGGGCTTGGAGAAAGTGCAGAAAGTACTACTTACCCATGGAGATAGTATTGAAAAAGTAGCGGATAACTTCCGGACAGTAGCTGCTTCTAGCGCATTTCCAGCAGCAATTGCTAATGATAAGATGCGTCTGTATGGTGTTCAATTTCATCCTGAAGTAAGTCTAAGGCAATTTGATTTATCTATTGATTTGTTTTTCTTTTGTGTGTGTTTGCTACATATTGATGATCTTCATTGCTAAAGAAAAGTTCATACTTTCCAAATATGTTTACATGAGGAGAAAACTTAGAATTTTGATAGTGTTAGGAGAGAGACTTTCTTACGATAATTATATGCTAGGATAAACCTCCCAAACATGACTCTCCTAATTCATGGGAGAGTCCTTTCATGAGATCTTTCCTGGAAGGAAAATAAATAAATCTGGAATGTCAACACCCAAAGGATTCTCCATGGTGGCAGCTATATTTTACTGCCCAAAATGAGCAACAGTGTGTTTAGAGATTAGTTCTGAGAAAAGAGCAGTCACATCTTCGGTTTGAGTTCTATTATATTTACAGTAGCTAGAATTTGAGATGCATGTGCCATTTTAATAATTTTTAAGAAGCAATAGAAGAGAAAAGAACATCCTCAACCGAAAATGCTTTACAGGAATAGATAAAATTATTTTTTTTATAAAACTGGGCAAAAGGTAGAGAAGAGGACAATATTTATCCAACTGCCCATTCATGCAATTTATTTCTGCAAAACATTAGGCCTTATCGAAGTTGATAATATCAAATATTACAATTAGATTATTTAAATTTTCTTTAAAAAGAAAAACGTTTAGTTCTAGCTCTTTAAACATTTACAGATTTCTAGTTTTTATATTATGCAGTAGAAACATTATTTAGAGTGGATCAACTGGACAAACTTCTACCACAAAAAACTACACATTGTGATTGTTGATAATACTCTATTTAAATTTCTTTCTATATTCAACTGAAGGATGTTAGTTCTGTCACCTGTTCCTGATTGCATTGTAGTCCTGTTTTACATTCTTCATTCTTGTTACATGAGCTAGCCATTTATTTTAATTTCCTTTTATTTCTTCCATATAATATGAGTCCAGTATTTTTTATCCAAATGGTAACGTAGGTTTGGGTGTTATATTGTGTATATGCATTTCTGTTTTGTGAGTCATGTCTCTTCCAAAATGTTCCTTGATTATTCCATTAACTGTTACACTTCGATATTCATTTATTTTTCTATCTTTCTCAATTCCCTTATCACATTTATTCATATAATAAAGTCACTCATAATACTGCCAAATGTTTTGAAGACACTTGATAAATGTTAGAACCAGAGTTTTTACATATCTTGTGCAGAAACACAAGTTTTAGGAGTGATCTCTTACACTTGAGTTTTGAAACGGTTAGGAGAGAAAACTTCCGTAAACATTTTAACAGGATGCAATTTTGAGAAAAGTCACACATCGTATGAGAATATCAAGCTTATATGATTAGGGAGAGGAATTTTATGCCCTAAAAAATCTTGAAGTAGGCTTTTAAAAATATACATTTATGACTTAAAAATGCTTAGAGGTGCAATTAAAATGAACAATATTTAATTTCCTGCATTAACCTTTCTATACAAAATTCAATAGAAGCGTGCTGGGAATGAAGATATATTTTTGTGCAAAGAAAATGTACTCAACTTTCGCGGGAGAAATAATTACACTAAATATTCACCTTAGTAAAGTATATTGTATGTCTTGTTGCATTTATTCTGGCTGGTTAAAAAAATGTTTTCCAGAAATTTTCTGTATTTGCACAAGTATTTTATCATCTATAGAAAAGAAAAAACCCACTGTGACAAGCACTTGGTAATCAATGGAAGCTCATAAATAAATTGTTTGTTTGTAAAATTGAAATGTTTGAGATAAGTCTCTGTTTTAACGAAATAAGTAAAATATGCCCCTATAATTACATAAATATGCACCATCAGGAAAAATGAGCCAAATGCACAAATACGAACTAACTTGTTAATGTACATAGCATCCAATTCTAATCAAATGTCAAGGAATTTCACTTAGCAATGGATGGAATGGGCAAAATCATAGAAATTGTCCCTAGTTCCCTTAAGGCCTTTGCCTTTACAAGCAAGTGACCCCAAGGTCGAATTCTGTCTGGTCAGCTGAAGACCCTCTCCTTCACAGTATGGGTGCCACAACTAAATCGCATGTTGCAGGGATATAGAATTTAAACTCAACATGCAAATGCATTCATAACATCAAGAATATCTCGTGTCTGTACCAATCGCATTAAATTCATAGGAATTCCGTTTTATAAAGATCCCCCCCCCCTTATTGAACATGCAAAACCGTTCCATTTCTCTGTTGGAGAGGTTCCGTTTTATGCTGTGTAAGATAGCATATAACTTCACAGACGAGAGAAATTTTGGTTAAGGTAGGTTTTTGGCTTATACAGGTTCTATAGAAAGGGATTAGATAGATTTCACTGCACATCCGTTGAGGAAAACATTTGGAGCCAAATTGTCGGTTTTCTTTATTATTTTTTGAAAAATTATGTAGGTGTATCTTAGGTTCAAAACAAATATATTTTGTGAAAATTTTGAAAAACTCAAATGGAAATGTAGTAGGTTGAAAACAATTTAAAAGTACATCCAGGTGATTGTAGACAAATTTCCTTCTTCAGTGAATATTCCAAAGATTTTTTTTGTATATACTGTCAAGTCTGTATTGAATTCGCTGGGTTGGAATACCTTTTACTATTTAAGTTATTTAATTATGCCTTTCATTAACACTGCTCTACATCATTTTGGGGAGAAAAAAAATTGGTATTTTGGTTTTGAATGCTTCCCCCTTTCCCCCCCCCCCCCCGTACCCCCCCCCCCCCCCCACCCCTGCCCCTCCCCCCCCCCCCCATTTTTGGTTTAGTTATGTTTTGAATGCTCTTTTTTCTTTTTTTTTTATTTTTTTTTTTTGTTTTTCCATTTTTTTTTTATTTTTATTTTTATATATTTCTATTTGTTATTTTTATATATTATATACATCTAATTGTACTTTACGACTAAGTGTACTTTTTCAGATTGACTGAGGACACTGCTAATACACCTAAAATTTACTACCCGCTGTGTACCAAACTGCCCTTACACCTCAATTGTTTCCAGGTGGATCTTACTGTCAATGGGAAAGCTATTCTTCGGAATTTCCTCTTTGACATCGCAGGCTGCACTGGGAATTACACTTTACAAGGCAGAGAGCTGGAGTGCATAAAGTACATCAAAGAAACTGTGGGAAACAGTAAGGTTTTGGTAAGAATACGGTTCTTTTTTATAAAGTGTTTATGACTTGAAAGAATTCGAAGAAAGAAAGGAAACTTCACCTGAGAAATATTTACAAATATGCAAAATTTCTTATAAATGTTTCTTAACCTTAACAGTCAGTTTTCCGGGAAAGTTTACTGCACTGCTGTTTTCATTCTTAATTGATAATAGTGTGTTGAATTTTGAATAAACAATTAGTTTTACCAAAATGTGGTTAATGCACTTGGGGACATCATGATTGTAGAGTGCAGTAAACTTTGTCCATAAAATAGTGTGTACCATTGTAACCTTCATTTGTTTGTTTTCAAACATGGAAGAAAGTAATTAATATGATAAATATAATCTAATATACCTTTATATTCATTACTTTTATTTTATTTATTTATTTAATTATTCTCTTTCGATAGCTCTCCTTGTTAACACCTTGCAGGGAGAACATTCCACTCATTTACAGCTTCATTTTTAGTAAAACATGATTGAAAATTTTCTCTTTTCTGTCTCTTCCTTTTGTAGCTTCTTATGTCTTTTGAATTTTGGTTCTTGAAGATTTTGTAATGCTTGGTTCCTGTCACTCATTGCTATTTTGGTTATTTCAGCTTCTAGTAAGTGGTGGTGTAGACTCAACTGTGTGTGCTGCCCTTCTTCACAAAGCACTTCACCAAGAACAGGTGATCGCTGTGCACATTGACAATGGCTTCATGCGGAAAGGCGAGAGCCAGCGGGTGTGGGAGTCTCTGGAAAAGCTTGGGCTGCAATTAAAGGTATGACTGAAAACAATCATGATTTGATTCAGATGGCAGTAAATGAGGGACAGTTGAAAAGGGGAAATAAAAAAAAAAATATAGTAACTGTGTGAGCTGGGCTGAGAAGGAATGTCATTCTATAAGAGGCACAGAAAAAAAGTATAGCAAAATAATGTTAAAGTTGCTCCCTAATGTTTTGAATACTGTGTGGAATATGTATTGGACCTTGGAAATCAATGATTTACCCATTGTCCGACTCTGACTCCTTTTCCTCCCCCTATTTTTATTTATTTTCAATTTAGTGGACACTTTGTCCCAATTATTTCAAAAATTACAGGTAAATAATTACAACTAAATATCTCGAACTACAATAAAGTTCAGTTCACGTTATTACATCTATATTTGTGATTATAGAAAACAAAATTGCATACTAGAGTACTACGACGAAAATTACAAGACTAGGAACATAAAGAAGATAGTAATTTTATATACAGCTCGCATTTGATTGTAATGAAGGAAATAAATAAAAGAAAATAATGCACTATAATTAAAATTAAAGTAATACTGACAACAACAAAAAAAGAATCATAAAAACATCAATTACATTATATCATTTATAATATATTATATAATTTCAATTTAAAAAGTTTACTCTTCACATCATTGCTGAATGCTGCATCAAAATATTTAATTAAACTGACTGGCATCTATACACATTCTGTTAATAGGGTTGTTAGCTGCATACAAATATTTATAAGATTCTGCACAAAAATTTGTGATCTTATGGTATTGAAGTGATTTTTAAAACACAATAGATACTGCAAAAGTGAACAATCAATAGTACCATTTAATAGTTTATTCAAAAATATCATATCAACATAATCTCTATAAGATTTCAATGAAAATATGTTCAAATGTTAAGCTATGATACTATAAACAGGGGTTTTAAAGCGATTCTGACCCTCTGCAAGATATACAGCAATTCTAAAATACTTCTGTTGGACTGTTTCCGCTCTAGAGATACTGTTTGAAACACATGGTGACGAAACAACAGAAGAGTACATAAGTACTGGTCTAATCAATATCAGATGAAGTGATCTCCATATTTGTAATGAGTGCAAATCATAGCATGTATCCTACATAAAGTCTAACAATTGATTGGCCTTATTAACTGTTATATGAAGATCTTTAAAAGACATTTTGCTGTCAAAAACACACCAAGATCCTGTATAGTTGGCCCTCTTTCAATAATCATTGAGTTAATAGTATAATTTCATTTTGAATTTTTTTTTTTTAATTTCTGTTTTTTCTTGATAATGTAAAAGTTTTAACATGGGATGGTGAAAATTTGTTAAATACTTAATCATAAAAACAAATTGTATTTAATTAATTTTTGGTGAGAAATTTCAATTTATAATCATCTGAAACAAAAGTTACGTGTTTTTCCTCCTCTTTCTTCTCCTCCTCCTCCTCCTCCTTCTCCTTCTTCTTCTCCTCCTCCTTCTTCTTCTTCTTCTTCTCCTCCTCCTCCTCCTCCTCCTTCTCCTTCTTCTCCTCCTCCTCCTTCTCCTTCTTCTCCTCCTCCTCCTTCTTCTTCTTCTCCTCTTCCTTCCTCTTCTTCTTCTCCTCCTTCTTCCTCTTCTCCTCCTCCTCCTTCTTCCTCTTCTCCTCCTCCTCCTTCTTCCTCTTCTCCTCCTCCTCCTTCTTCCTCTTATTCTTTCCTCTTCTTCTCCTCTCTTGCTGCTCTCTCCCAAGTCTCCTATTAAACAGAGATGTAGAGTTCAGTTCACAACTCAATCATTCAAACATTAAATGATACGAGTTTCAAGTACATTCTGATAAAGAACTGTTGAAAAATCAGAAGCCCGACATAGTGACCGGATGAAAATTTGAGGTGCAATCACATGAAGGATGAACACAATGTACAAATCATTCAAGGGAGTCTAATTACAGTAAGAGGGTGATGCAATATGGGAAGAGAACAAATAAGAAAGAACTGGTGGTAAATGTTACGATGAATATGGTAGTGACAAACACCAGGAATTCAATGATTTTCAGAATCAAGAAAATTGGGCTAGTTCAGGCCATAAGTTTTCATGTGCAAATTAATTTTCTAGCCATTTGCAGTTTTATTTGAGCTAAATAAAATAAGTTAAAAATTTAAAATCTTCTCAGTTCTCTTGTTATTTATGGGATGGTCTTCAATTCAGTTGACTTGTATTCGGGTATTTTGATTTGATTTATTTAGTCATAAAATAGTAAAAATTGTACAAGACTTATGGGTGAGATAATCCACTGTGTAATATTTTCCTGAAAACCTTCCTAATATTTCTACTAACTTCCTAATATTTGAACTATAAATAGTTTAGTGATTATTAAAAATTTAAAAGAACATAAATAAAACAATAATAATAATAATAATAATAATAATAATAATAATAATAATAATAATAGTAATAATTTAAACAGTATGAAATTAGCCACATTTGTAGAAACTAGACATTTTCGTTCCCAAGTTATATAAAACTTATTTGCATTGGCACAAACTCCAGATTTTATTCTTCTATATTGCCAGCAAAATAGCAACTCGCTCCCAAATCTACTCCTACCACTATAAACAAAAGGACAGTTCAACAAAACATGTACACAACGCAGCTACATTTATGTCCAGGGCAAAAGAAGGGGCATGTGCTCAATGGATCAAGGAAACTGGACCGAGATGGGGGTTATTGATCCGGAAGCTGTAAATATGTACTGAAAATGTTAATTTATTCACACTTTGGGATATTAAAAATAAACCATAGTATGGTACTGTACATGTGTATCATTCTTTGACAGGTTGTGAATGCGAGCCACGCTTTTCTACATGGCACTACTACGTTCCCAATGGATAAACGTGAACAGTCCAATAGGACGCGTATTACCAAAATGTTATGTATGACAGCTAATCCAGAAGAAAAACGTAAAATCATAGGTGATGTTTTTGTGAAGGTGAGTGAAGAATCTTCATTATTCTTTAGTTTGAACAATTATTATTGTTACTGTAACTATTGCATTATTTAGTTACAAATGTCAATATAATTACAATATAATGCTTATATTAGTAAAACACAATTTTAATAAAGTCAACTAATTTCTAGAAATAATATTTATAATATAAAAGTGTAACGAAGAGTGAATAGCGAATAGTGAATCTCAGTAAGACCTTATTACTCAATGATCTCTCTTGATAAGCATAATGTACAAGATCAAAAATTATGTTTTTCCACAATATTTGTCAGAGAAGCTAAGCTATCCTAGTCACCTCAAAGACTTTGTACATATTACAAAACTGGAACAGAGTAGTTTTTTGTGCATTTGATATTTAGTAATAGCATAAATGTACTGAGGTATAAAGTTTATTGAATCCAGAGAAAGAAACTTAAATTTTTTTTATTACTCACAGTGAATAAGGTGAAATCTGTTGAGAGATGTTGATATGGTCTGTGTGTGTAGGTGGCAAATGACGTGATCTCCGAGCTGAATCTGAAGCCAGAGGAGGTGTTCCTTGGGCAAGGCACACTGCGCCCAGATCTCATTGAATCAGCTTCTCGCCTTGTTAGCACCAAAGCAGATGTGATTAAGACCCACCACAATGACAGTGAATTAGTGCGACAACTTCGTGATGAGGGACGTGTTGTGGAACCTCTGAAAGACTTCCACAAAGATGAGGTAAGTGCATTGCCCTCTATATACGCTAAAAAAAGGAGAGAAAAAATTACTTCTCTTAAATGTGGTAATAAAATCAGTCTCTTTAAAATCTAATACCACTATCTACCTTATCCTAGAGAATAATATAGATTGGTAGATTAATGCACACAAATCCACATGTTTTGGGTTTCTCGGAAATGTGTTAAGATAAGAGCAAGGCATCAAACATATTTTATATACCCAATTCTCCAATGGGAACAGAAAACCAAAATCATTGTTTCATTAATTGCATTGTTGGAAGCAGATCAGAATCAAACTATTTTGGTTCTAGGTTTTAAAATATCTTCATATTACTGTGTAGCTTATTATGATGTATTCATGGATTGAGAAGAAACTCATAGAACGTGTGAGTTTTTTTGTGATAATTTCTTTGTTTTAATTTACAGAAGTTTTCCTCTGGATAGAAAACTAATTGTCAAAAACTTCAATACATTGAAGTTACATAACACTTATGTTTATAAAAGAAATCATTTAATAAAGTTTAGGGAAACTCTTTTCAAGATCTAAACACACTATTTTGTTACCAAAAACTTGAACCAACCAAAATATTTCATTAACTGAATCCGAAATATTTCATACACATGTGCAAGTATGTGAAGAGGCTATTAACGAATGATAATGTGTGGTAAAAATAAGGAAGTGTAAAGAAGTTGATTAACCTTTTATTACTGTAGGTACGGCAGCTTGGCAGAGAATTAGGATTACCTCCTGATCTTGTGATGAGACATCCTTTTCCTGGACCTGGACTAGCTATTAGAATCCTGTGTGCTGAGGAGCCATTTATGGAACGTGATTTCTCAGAAACACAAGTTCTGGTGAAAATTATGGCAGAATACGAGCAAATGCTTCAGAAGGTATATACAGAACTTTTTATGTCTCACAATAAGTGCATGGTAGTTCAAAAAGTTTTTTTTGTAATCTGTGCAATGAATGAGGTGTGAAGGTTCAGATTGCTAGGCTTAAATAACATGCAAGGTTTAAAAACACTAGATGTAATTCCTAAAGATACTAAACACATCCATGTTTATTATATTTCCAGCAGAACTTATCTCACTCCCCCTCCCCTTACACATACTTAACCCTCCTATGCCACCCCACCTTCCTATGCCACCCTCCCCCTCCTCCCAAAAACATTAGGAAAGACTTAAAGGAAATGTTTCAAGTAGTTTTCATGAAAGTGGTTTGTGTAGATATGATTCCATTTTTTAAAAAAAACTAATGATGCTTATGTTGTTCCCATTTTTTTAAGGCTGTGCATGCTAATGAGTTGCTGTACTTCGTGTTGTTGCTTGCTTTTTCTTTATAAAGAATTTGATTTTTATGTCACAGTTGTTTTAACCAGATGCAACACTGTTTCAGAAACATGCTCTTTTGAATAGAGTAGAAAGTGTGACAAGTGATGAAGAAAGGCTAGAACTACGTAAAGTTTCCAGTAAGCAACACCTTGCAGCAACTTTGTTGCCTATCCGCAGTGTAGGTGTACAGGTAAGTCTTGGCGCGGAAATGGAAATTCTAGAGTACGGCTCTCTCTGGATTTCATTGTTCTCTTCACTCTTCATTTTTTTTCAATAGGTAATAATCTTCGGGACTTGTACTTGAAGGACAAGTACTGTGCTTTCCTTTTAAGAACTGAAACAAATGTTGCTTTTATTGTTTATATGTCTCTGCATTGGACCTCTCTCTAATCCTCTCTCTAATTTATGAACGATTTATTATTTATTTAGTTCACGTGGATGATACACTTTGCATTACCTGTGTATTAAAATTGATTTGTCACTTTTGACCTAGCACAAAATGTTTCAATAACTGGCTCAGTTACTACTAGAAATTTGCTTTTATGGTGCAGTGACCTTACCCAACTCAAACATTGGTTGTTACTCAATGGATTGGTGGAGTAAACTCAATGGACAAGTTATATTTTTTAAAAGGATTGCCATTGTTGGTTCTGTACAGGGTGACTGTCGCACGTATAGCTATGTGGTGGGCCTATCAAGTGAAAAGGACCCTGACTGGGGAGACTTGATGTTTCTGGCTCGTCTCATCCCACGTGTATGTCACAATGTGAACAGGGTGTGTTTTATTGCTGGAGGATTAGTGCGAGAACCTGTCCTAGACATCACACCGACATTTTTGACATCAAATGTGCTCAGTACACTTCGCCAAGTTGACCATGTGGCTACCCAGGTATGTATGATTAGATAGATTGATATGCACTTAATCATGAAAATGTGCATTTACACACAAAAAATCATAAAATATGGGGAGGGATTATCAATAAATTACTTCAAATATACCTACCTATGGTCTTTCTAATCTTCTGCACTAATTTGTTATTTAAATATGTCAAATATCCTTTTCTCTGTGTATTTTTAATTTTTATTGGATTTTTCTAACACAATTATTCAAGGAAATTTCAAATCTGCTACAGTGTTTTGAATGGAATCTTAGCACGAGAGGGAGCATGCACATATCTCAGAAAACATGCTGAACTTCTCTGCTTTGTGCTGGAATAACTTGTTACTTCACAAAGTTCCTTTGATGCATTTTTTGTGTGTAGCACCATCTTGATGTATTTTTTGTGAAAAATTATAGAATCCTCCTTCAATTCTTAGTAACTTCACATTGTCCTCATCTAAAACAAAATTTTCTTTATTTCTAAAATCATGTTGAAGAAATGTAAATCCTGCTATTGTAGTAGGTGTTCTTAAGAATTCACTTTTTTTAAAATAACAATATTTGATAACAAAATAATTATCGAGGTTCTCACAATTTTATTTCACTGTATTAGATTGGTACTTTCATGTTTTTACCTTTATAACTATTAGTTTTTGAATTACCTAAATCTGTGTGGATTTAATAGAGAGTTCTTTTGGATTTACTTTTAAAACAGGTGCTGACAGCTTCGGGGTATTCCAGTGCCATAAGTCAGATGCCTGTTGTGCTGATACCTATTCACTTTGACCGTGACCAAGTCTCTAGGATCCCTTCTTGTCAGCGGTCTGTAGTTCTCAGGCCTTTCATCACTCATGACTTCATGACTGGCGTGCCTGCAGTTCCTGGCAGAGACATCCCTGTTGATGTAAGTCACTTTTTACCTGAATACGCAAAACAAATGGGGAAGGTAGTAATATTGAGAGTTTTCCTTAATGCAATTTGAATGGTTTAAAAGATAAGCAAACAACATTGTATGAGACTTCCAGAGCAAATGAGGTAAATTTGTTGCAATAAGTCAAATTCTAGATATTAAAGTTTTTGAATAGCAGAATATTTCATACATCTGACGACATTTGATCTTACAACATAACACAAGCACCAATTCATGAATCCTCTTGAAAGAGTTCTCTTGAATTATTTGTGAATAGAGTTCTTTGGTTCAGAGAGTATTTTGGAATTGAAGAGAGATACGTAATTTAAGACGTTATAGAGATTTTCAAGGACAGAATATTAAAATTCTGATCACCAAAAACACCAGATTTGAGTGATTACTTGAAAATCTGAAGAGATTTAAGAAAGAAACTCCATCATCATTAGAGGAAACAGTCTTTCACACAAAGGAGGAAGTAAAGAAAGGAGTACCATATGAAAATTAGAAGAGGGTTCAAAAACAAAATGTGCAAACCAACTTGATCCCGAACGTGTACAAGTCAGAAACCTATGTTAAGAAGAATATTTCTTCGGCCTTTAAAGTTAAATAGCATTTTATACAAACATTAAATGGAACTTGTCCAACCCCGAAAGGTATCGAGTTTTCTTATCCTGTGGGGAAGGGGAAACCTTTGTAAATGGAATTTCTGTGAAATTATACAATTGGCAGAGAAACACAAGATATTTTTAATGAAATGAATGCATCTGAAAGTCTGTTTTAAATTCTCTCTCTGTATGTCATGCTATTTAGTCGCGGCAGCCACCCTGTGGGGAGTGGCTTCAGCTCACAGCATAGAATTCCTTAGGTTCGCTTTTGTCTCTTATGACATAGGCCATAGGGTAATTCCCTCCCTCTTCAACTCTGAGCGCAGGAAGGTGTATAGGCATGTCTTCTATTCACATGCCTCCCTGTCCCACATTGAAAATTAACACCTCAGCCAGACACACACTGCTCAAGGCCATGTGAGGGTATCAGAAAGTCCAGAATTGATCACGACAAACAAAAAAGTTCCAGTTTAGGAAGGTTTCCGTTATATGCAGAGTGCTCCATTTAACATCATTTGTGATCTTGATAGTTCTGTTCTGAAAACAGTAAGTTAACGTAAATATTCAAGTAATTGAAGTAAAGTAAATATTATGATTTTATTATGATTACTAAAATAGATTTACATATAATGCATTTATGGAATTAATCACCAATAAATTAGTATTAAACCTTCTTCATTGACAGTTTCTGTTTCTCTTACTTCCATTAGTTTGACTTTTTCATCTAATGTTAGATAATATTAGAGTTTTGTTTTTGCATTGTTAAACTGCTTGTGAAACTCAAAAGTACACACCCCTCACACCTCAATGGCTGAAATTAATCTTCTTGCTGACTCTCAAAGCACAATGCGTTACAGCCCAGAGAACTGTGATTTTCTGATAGTCTCGCATGGTGTTGAGCAATCTCTACCTGAGGGCTTATAATTTTGAATGTAGGGCAGGGAGAGACACAAATAGAAGTTATGCTCATACACCTTCCTACTCTCAGCAAGGAGGGGGGATTTCCCTACGGCCTATGCCTTGAGAGACAAGTGACCACAAGTGCAAACTTTACGCTTTCAGCTCAAGCTCTTCTCCTTCACAGTGCGGTTGCCATGACGAAATCATGTGTGATGGAAAATTTAAAACAAATGCAGATGCATTCTTTATATTAAGAATACCTTGCATCTTTGCCAATTACATTAAATTTACAGGAATTCCATTTTATGAAGATTTTCCCCTCCCATCGAACATGAAAAACAGTTCCGTTTCCACATTAGACAGATTCAGTTTCATGCTGGGTAATATACCCATATAAATTCAAAGGCCAGAGAAGCTATATGGTTTAGACAATATTCTGGCTTGTACAAGTTACGGTTAAGACAGATTTTACTGTATTCATTTATTGGTGATAGCTTCCATAAATATATTATATGGTAATGTTAATAAAGTCTTGTAATTTACCCATTGCAGAATGAAAATATCCAAATAACAATCGTCATAAAATCCCTATAAAGTGGAAACCTCCATAATCCGTTTTGGGGGGGTGTCAATTGATTCCGACTTGAACAGATTTTACTGTATAATTAAACAGTGGTGCAGGTCCAAAAGTGCATATGTCCAATTTCCATTTAAACCTTTGGACTTTCAAAAATTGTGAAATTTCAGTTTTTTGTAGCAACTCTGTTTTACCATTTGTAAACAACTTTCAAACCACTTTTGTCTTCTTTTTTCTTTCTTTGTTTCTTTTTTCCTTCCTTAAAAGTTTCGAATTGTCAGTAATTTACTGTTGCCGCTGTTTAAAGTATACATTATGTGGAGAGTGAAGTAAGTAATGATTTCTGTAGCTCTGATTCATTACCAATACTGCCCTCCTAAAGCAAAGTTGGGAGATGAGATATCCTTAGTTAACTTAGCAAGAACTGAGGCTACAGTCTGCCATACATTTCTTTTATTAATTTATACTCTCTCATTTAATGAGATACAATGAGGTTTTTGTATGTGTTACTTCTTTTTTGTTTCTGTTGATATTAAATATTAATTAATAATGTGGAGGGTATAGAAGGTTTTGATTCACTACTGAAACTGCCTTCCGAGAGCAAAATGGATGATGAACATCTTTAGCTCACCAAAGATCTAAGGCTACCGTCTGTCAGATAGTACTTCAGTCACTTGAGCTTGAGTCTAGATTTAGAAGTTAATTTTACAGTATGCCCTTATGATTAATTTTAAAAAATGTGAGTTTTAAGTGAAGTGTGTGTGTGTGTGTGTGAGCATTTCTGTGTGTGTGTGTGAGCATTTCTGTGTGTGTGTGTGAGCATTTGTGTGTGTGTTGTTGGTGCTGTGTGGGAGCATTTTCCTGTGTGTGTGTGTGGGAGCATTGTGTGGGTGATGTGAGAGCATTTGTGTGTGTGTGTGTGTGGGGGAGCATTTGTGTGGTGTGGGAGCTTTGTGTGTGTGTGGAGTTGTGTGTGGTGTTGTGGAGCAGTTTGTGTGTGTGTGTGGAGCATTTTGTGTGTGTGTGTGGGGCATTTTGTGTGCGTTCGTGTGGATTGTGTGTGTGTGGGAGATTTGTGTGTGTGGGGAGCATTTGTAATTTTGTGTGTGTGTGGGAGCATTTGTGTGTGTTGTGGGAGGCATATTGTGTGTGGTGGGAGCATTTTTGTGTGTGTGTGGGAGCATTTGTGTGTGTGGAGCATTGTTGTGTGTGTGGGAGCATTTGGTTGTGTGGAGCATTGTGTGTGTGTGGGAGCATTGTGTGTGGTGTGGGAGCATTGTGTGTGTGTGGGAGCATGTGTTGTGCTGTGTTGTGGGAGCATTTGTGTGTCGTGTGATGTCTGTGTGGGAGCATTTGTGTTGTGTGTGTGGGGGAAGCATATCGTGTGTTGTGTGTGTGGAGCATTGTGTGTGGTGTGTGGGGCATTTGTGTGTGTGTGTGTGTGGGAGCATTTGTGTGTGTGTGTGGTGTGGGAGCATTTGTTGTTGTGTGTGTGGTGGGAGCATTTGTGTGTGTGTGTGTTGTGTGTTGGAGCATTTTGTTGGTGTGTGTTGTGTGTGTGGAGCATTTGTGTGTGTGTGTGTGTGTGTGTGTGTGTGGGAGCATTTGTGTGTGTGTGTGTGTGTGTGTGTGTGTGGTGGGAGCATTTTTGTGTGTGTGTGTGTGTAGGGAGCATTTGTGTGTGTGTGTGTGTGTGTGGGAGCGTTGTGTGTGTGTGTGTGTGTGGTGTGTGTGGAGGTTTCTGTGGTGTGAGCGGGGAGTTTGTTGGTTGTGTTGTGTGTGTGTGTGGGCAGCGTTTCTGTGTGATTGCAGTGTGTGTGTGTGTGGGAGGGAGCGTTTCTGTGCGCACATGCACGAGTGTGCAACTTGTCTGATGCATATTGAATGAAGCAGATATTATTATTTTGGGGTACTTTCAACTAGTTAACTTTTTCAAATTAAAAATATAAATGAAAAGAAAACTAACAATTTGGCTCCAGAAATTTTCCTCAAATAATGGATGTACATTGAAATCTAATTCAGAATCTGTACAAGCCAGAAACCTGCATTAACCAGACTATGCCTTTTGCCTGTAAAGTTATATGGCATTTTACACATACGTAAAACTGAACTTGTCCGACCCAGAAACGTAAAGATTTTTCATGTTCTGTGGGGAAGGAACAATCTTTGTAAAATGGAATTACTGTGAAATTAATGCAATTGGCAAGGAAACGCAAGATATTCTTAATGAAATGAATGCATCTGCAAGTCTGTTTTAAAATTTCTCTCTATATTACACGTTTTTTTAGACCGGCAACCGCCCAGTGGAGAGTTACTTCAGCTCTCAACATTGAATTCAACCTTGGGGATTGCTTCTCTCATGGCATAGGCCATAGGGGAAATCCCTCCATGGCTTCTATTCACAGGACTCCCTGCCCCACATTGAAAATTAACAACTTGGCCAGACACACACTGCTCAAGGCCATGCAAAGGTATCAGAAAGTCCATAGTACTCTGTACTGTGTGCCTTTTGCATTGAGTCAGCAAGCAGTGAGACTGTAGGTCACTAGGCTTTGAGGTAGTGTGTATTTTTATGAATTTCACACCAATTTTAACAGGGGTTGGAAAAGAAAAGAAAAAAAAGAAATAAAACACACGCAATACTGTACCCGTATATTAAAACGTCAAACTTATAGAAGCAAGAGCATCTCAAAAGCTGTCATAGTGTTTAATAAAATATGACTAAGCCGGAGTTGATTGGAACGAAAAAAAAAGTTTGTTTAGGGAGGTTTCCATTTTATGCAGGGTTGTCATTTAACAACACTTGTTATCGATAGTTCCTATCTGAAACTAGTAAATTAATGTAAATAAAGAAGAAATTAAAGTAAAGTAACGTGATCTTATGACGATTATTAAATTAGATTTACATATAACATATTTATGGAATTAATCACCAATAAAGGAGTATTAATCTTCAATGACAGCTTATGTCTCTCTTGCTTCCATTCGTTTCTTTTCATTTAATGTTAGATAATATTAGAGTTTCTTCGTTTTCACATTTTTAAACTGGTTGTCAACTTGTGAAACTCTTAAATACACACCACCTCTCAGCGTAATGGCTGAAATGAGTCTTCTTGCTGAATTTTCCGATTCTCTCATATGGCCTTGAGCAATTAATCTCTGCCCGAGGGCGTACGATTTTTAACATGGGGAAGGAGAGGTGCAAATAGAAGTTATGTCTGTACACCTTCCTATTCCTGATCCTTCACAATGATGTTGCCACTACTAAATTGTGTGAGATAGAGAATTTAAATCACATGGAGTTGCATTCATTATATTAAGAATATCTTGAGTCTCTGCCAATCACATTAAGTTTGCAGGAATTCTGTTGTATACAATTTTTTACCCCTTTCGGACATAAGAATTGTTCAGCTTCCAGGTTGGACAGAATCCATTTTATTCTGTGTAAAATACCATAATAATTCACAGGCCAAAAAAATTTTCCAGTTACGGCAGGATTCCGTAAAGTACCATACAAGTTTTGCACAAGTTCCAATTTAGACAGATTTTTACTGCATTCATTTATTGGCGATTGCTTTCATAATTATGTTAATAAAGTCATGTAATTTACTCGTTGCAGAATGGAAATATCCAAATAAGTGTTCTAAAATAGAGAATCCCCTATAAAATGGAAACTTCCATAAACCAGTTTTTTGGTTCTATTCGATTTCGGCTTAAACAGATTTTACTTTTTAGTTAAAAAGTGGCGCAGGTCCAAAAGTGTGCATGTTCATTTTCCATTTAAACGACTGGACTTTCAAAAATTGTGATATTTCAGATTTTTTTTGTTGCAACTCTGTTTTACAATTGCAAACCACTTTCAAACCACTTCCTTCTTTTTCCTTTTTTAAAGTTTCGAATTGTCAGTAATTTTTTTTACTCTTACCACTGTTTAAAGTAAACATTATGTGGAGGGTGAAGAAAGTAATGATTTCTGTAGCTCTGATTCATTACTGATACTGCTCTCCTAAAGCAAAGTTGGGAGATAGATATCCTTAGTTTGCTTAGCAAGAACTGAGGCTACAGTCTGCCATACATTTTTTATTAATTTATTCCCTATCATTTAATTAGGAACAATGAGGATTTTGTATGTGTTTCTTATTTTGTTTTGTTTCTATTGATATTAAATATTAATTCATAATGTGGAGGGTATAGAAGGTGGTGATTCTGTGATCTTTGATTCACTACTGATACTGCCTTCCTAGATAAAAATGGGAGATGAACACCCTTAGCACAATGAGCTAGATCTAAGGCTACAGTCTACCAGATAATACTTCAGTAACTTTTATTCTGTATTATTATTCATAATAGCTTGTGAAAGCCCTTGTGAATACACCACACAAAAGGAAGAATTGTAGAAATGTTACAACACAAAAGTACAACATAGGAATTGTAGGGAATATTGAAAACCTCCGAAATTTTGTTTCATATTCGGTATTCATTCCCTAAGAATGAAGAAATGAGGGAGGGATAAGTGAAATACGGGTTTACGAATTCTGGAACTATAGACTGTATTCACTGTGAACATAAGTTTAAAACCATTTCTGCAAATGTAATTGAAATGTTTTATAGTCACCGTAATCTGAACATGTATGTTGAGTGAACTGTAGCTGGAATTCCTGCTATCCACTCTAATTTAAAAATTCAATACAACACAATCATTATTACAGAATTTTTTTTTGTAAAGGCACTCATGTTTCAAACGATTACCGGACATTGCGTTGTGAGATCACTATTCTTAGCATTCTTCTTCAATCTTCGAACCTAAAGTACTCACTATCTTCATTTATCATTCATCAACTATAACCTCATACTCACATGCACTTGCCTGCACTTGATTCAAGATCTTGATGCAACCAAATTAGGTAATGAACAAAGACTGGAGGTAAACAATCTGGTCTATATTTACATTCGATAACAATTCAGTTTTTTGGTACAAAGACTGGTTTATAAGTGACAACAATCTCGGGCCTTCACCTTTCAATTTAAAGTAAAAATAATGAACATGTGGATGACTAAAGAGGTCAAACTTCTTGTAAATGAAACAATTAATTAAAATAATTAAATAATGGTGGAGGGTATAGAAGGTGGTGATTCCATTAATTTGATCACTATTCGATACTCGCTCCTAGAGTAAAAATTGGAAGATGAAACCTTAACTCACTGAGCTAGATCTAAGGCTAACAGTCTGCCAATAGTACTTCAGTATAATTTTAACTTTTGAATTAGACTGATCTAGCTCATGTTACAGCAGCCCTTACAAAGAATAATTAATTTTTTTCTCTCTGCCTCTTCTCTCTCTCTCTCTCTCTCTCTCTCCTCTCTTCTCTCTCTCTCATCTCCCTCTCTCTCTCTCTCCTCTTCTTCTCTCTCTCTCTCTCTCTCTCTCCTCTCTCTCTCTCTCTCTCTCTCTCTCTTCTCTCTCTCTCTCTCTCTCTCTCTTCTCTCCTCTCTCTTCTCTCCTCCTCCTCTTCTCTCTCTCTCTCTTCTCTCTTCTCTCTTCTCTCTCTCCTTCTCTCTCTTCTCTCTCTCTTTCTCTCTCTCTCTCTCCTCTTCTCTCTTCTCTCTCTCTCCTCTTCTCTCGTCT